CACTACGGTGATAGATGTGTCTTACACCAGAAATCACAGCAATATTCAGATTAGTTCTAGTCACCAAGGACTAGTCAGTTATTCTAGGTCAACAGTATCTTAGATCTTACATCAATGACAATGCTTTTAGTTAATCCCTATAATAAACTATATACACATTTATTAATAGGAAAAATGAGTTATTTACAAGGCTAGAGCATGTAAACAAACAAACTAGTTATAGTCTTGTATTGCAAAGAATAAGAGAAGCTTCTAGAATAAATATACGTCCCTTAGAGCTAAACCAGGCTAAGCTGCTTGGGATCCCTTGCTTATGCCTGGAAACCTTGCACCCAGAATCCTAGCAAAAATGAGATCTAGTTTCTCCTTGTTAGGAGGTTTTACTCCCTTCACCTCTTCTGCTTTGAGTTGCAAAGTCGGCTGATGGGAGGAATTCACATGCAAGACTCATCTTTACTGGAATGAGGAAGAGGGGAGAATAACAACAAAGTTTTCTGCCCTCCTTAATGTTCTATTCCAGTCTGTCCAGTGTCAATGGGGTTTCCTTGTTAGGCAGGTCATAATGCCTTTTGTTGTAGACAGATTTCTCACTACTTAATACCAGGTAGGAGATTTTACCCTGCAGTGTAGACGTGCCCTCCGAGTGGACCCGCAGCCCACTTTGAAAAAAAAACTCGTTTAGTAGGACTTAAAATGGTCATTTGTCCTGAACTATCAATAGACGGATACTTCAACACCCTCTTCCCTGGCTCTGCCTCACAGGTTGCAATGGTCTACAACTGACCTGCGACAGATGAAAAAGCAAAATGACACGGACGCTGGAACAATTTGTATATTGGGTGTGCTGAGAGCCATTAAACCAAACTGTAAACCCTGGATATACAGGCAGTCCCCGAGTTACGCGGATCCGACTTATGTCGGATCCGCAGTTACGAACGGGGCCTGTCTCCCTGGTCTCCGGCAGACCAGGGAGAGGAAGCAAAGCGGCTGAGCACGTGGACAGCCCAGACGCGTCTGGGCTGTCCACGTGCTCAGCCGCTTTGCTTCCTCTCCCTGGTCTGCCGGAGACCAGGGAGACAGGCCCCGTTCGTAACTGCGGATCCGACATAAGTCGGATCCGCGTAACTCGGGGACTGCCTGTATATCCAGGGTTTACAGTTTGGTTTAATGGCTCTCAGCACACCCAATATACAAATTGTTCCAGCGTCCGTGTCATTTTGCTTTTTCATCTGTCGCAGGTCAGTTGTAGACCATTGCAACCTGTGAGGCAGAGCCAGGGAAGAGGGTGTTGAAGTATCCGTCTATTGGTAGTTCAGGACAAATGACCATTTTAAGTCCTACTAAACGAGTTTTTTTTTCAAAGTGGGCTGCGGGTCCACTCGGAGGGCACGTCTACACTGCAGGGTAAAAGTCTAATTAAGCTATGCAACTGGAGCTACATCACTTGCGTAACTGAAGTCTGAATAGCTTAATTAGGCTTTAGGTGCTATCTACATGGTAGGAAGTCGAAGGAAGACTTACTCCTCATGAAATGAGGGTTACAGAAGTCGGAGTAAGAAGTCCTCCAGCTCGATGACATTTCAAACTAAAGGCTGGTAGTGTAGATGTGCTTTGTTATTATGGAATAACATCAGTTATTTCAAAATAACGCTGCTGTGTAGACATACCCCAAGAAAGCTGCTAACAGGCCGCTCTGGTTTGTTTACTCACTGGCTCCACAGCCCCCAATTCAGCATTGTACTCATGCAGAGGACTGCTTGCATGCTTAAGAGTTAGACACTTTAGAAGTTGGGGGGGGGGGTATCTGAATATTTATCCATTAATTTGAAATGTGTAGTCTAAGTTTTTCACATATGGCTTCTTGCATGCAAAGTGCAGATCAGATCACTGGGATCCTTTGACCAGGGGTTGGGATCCTAAGGCCCAGGGACTCAATCTGGCTTCTGGCTTTCTTGGAACTGGCCCCCGATGCTTGGGGAGCTCTCCTCCCCCCCCCCCCCCCCCCCCACCACGCCAGTGCTGGCTCCCCGCTGTGTGAGAGGAGCCCTGAGCCTCAAGGCCAGACTCAGGCAAGCCAGAGCTGACCCATAGGCTCTGCCTGGCAGGGGAGAGAAAGCAGCTCTGCATGCAGCTGTTCCACCTCCCTCTCTGCTGGCACAGCAAAACGCTGCCTCCAGGCTTTTCTCCCCACCACTCTAATTGGCCGTGATCATGGCCAATAGGAGCAGCAGGGGACAGTGCCTAGGAGCAGCAGGGGACACAGAGCCATGTGCATCCCCGGGAAGTTGTGCCAGATAAGTGTGCCCCCTGTCACTCAGACCTTGCACTCCCACCTCAGTCCTGCACCTTCCCTGAAATCCAGTCCTCCCCTGCACCCTCCCTCCCACCCAGAACCCGCACCCCAAGCCTGCTTCCCGGCAGTCCCCGCCTACACACTAAACTTTTTTTTTTGCTTCTCAGTTTTGTGCATCCCCTGCAACTGATTTTTTTGTGTCAGCGGCCCCCAACTCAAAAAAGGTTCCTCATCCCTGCTCTAAACCCTTCATAAACAATTTTTTAAAAAGTGTTTATTGTTTGTTAGCCCCGTGTGTGTGCACAGACCTTTGCAAGGCACAGGACACGAGCTTCACCTCCCTAGGAGCGTCTTTAGTTGCTGTAGCTCCAACTCTGGGATTTGCAAATTTACAATAAACAATGCTCTCCCCATACCATCTGCACAAGGATGAGGCCTGGCTCCTGCATGGGAAACAGATAATACAATGAAGATATTCTGAGTGTTTCAAATATATTTTTTTTTAGCCTTGACTTTTCATCAGGAATATGTAGGAAGATCTTTTTATTACACACCAGGATCGCTTCATTCATGCAGTTTTCAGAGTCTTTCTCTCCTCTCTTTCTATGTCCAGGAGACTACATACCAGACCTTGGCTGTTGCCGTAAGGATGTTCTGATTTATCTCTCCCACAGTTGAAAGAGATGGATACAATCTCTAATGTACAGCAACACAGGGCAGATGCCCTGCAGCCCTTATGCGGTAAAGTAAAACAATAGAGGACTCCTGCCAGGGCAGTTCCTTCCTCTTCTACAGGAGCAGTGTATAGGAAAAAAAGTCTTTGTCCATTTAAAAAGCATTGCCTTCACAAAGCCCACAGCAGGAGGGTCATCATGTGAAAACAAAAGCCTGGTTGTTGCGCTATATAGACATTTGTTAATTGTGTCATTTTTAGAGCATAATGCAGCTGGGATGACTTGCATGAGAAAGGAGTATTTGAATGGCCCTGCTGTGCATTAATGGAGCACTAATGAGCTAACAGGTGAACTGCTACATTAGGAAACACAGAACCATAGCATGGGAAACAGAGCACAGCCTGAGGCAAATGCTCAGGAATCCTCATTCTGGGGTATCCACACCCATTGAGTATGTCTACACTGCAATGAAATACCCATGGCTGGCCTATGTCAGCTGATTCTGGCTTGCGGAGTTATACAATTGCACTGCAGACTTTTGGGCTTGGGTTGGAGAAAACCTGAATACCCAGTCCTGTAGCCTGGATCAGCTGACATCGGCTAGCCCTGGCTATTTCACTACAGTGTAGCTTTGCCCCTTGCGGCCTACCACTGAACACTGCAGGATAAAGAGTATGGGGGTAAAGCTAATATGTACACTCCTCATTGGATGGCATGAAATCTCTGGTCATGTCCAAAAGATACTCCCCTTTTTTACAGCAGTGCAAAGGGCCTACTTCATGGCACACACAGAGTGCGTGCTCCCTCTCTATGCATGGTACTCAGGGCTCTCAGATGATGGAAATTCTTCTGCAGATGGGGAATCAAGGTCCATTGTGATTTGGTTTTCCTGAACTGGACCACAAAATGGTCTGGAAAAAAGAACAGGCTGTGCAGTACTCCTAGTCATTCACATCCAGGCACAATGTTAGGTATATCTCCATTTACTGCAGTTTAAAATGCATAGAAATCCTGAAGCCTTTTCATTGGAACTGAACCCCGGAAGCCCATGCCATATATTATCTCATCAAAGGAACAAAGCCCTTCCCCTACACCCCACTGTCAAGAGAAAAATAGCAGTTCTTTACCATACATAACAGAACGTCAGACAAATATTTTGAACATTTTGCTCAGCAGAATTTCTTTCATGGAAAGTAACGCCGGACAACCTCCAAGGTTGATACAAAGAAACTGGTGTTTGACAATGCATATGTCAAACTTCAACTCTGTGTCCAAACATACCAAACTTTGGCTCTGGATTTGAACCACACAGCTGCTCCCTTGCTCTGTAATGGGCCAAACCAAAAACCTAGATAGGAACTGCATATCTACCCTCTTACCTCCCCCACCCTGCAAAGGGCTGAACCCAAACCCTGCATTCTGAACTACATGCCTACCACTTTGCCCTCCAGAATGGACTGAGCTCAAACCCCACATTCTGAACTGCATACCTAGACCCCTCTGGGCAGATCCAAAACCATGGCTCTGGATCCAATCACTGCAAGCTGGTCCCTATCACTAATGTATGGATTCTTTACATGTATGAGGTTACTAAATTCCTTTTGGCAGTCCCAACAGTGGGGAGCTGTGTGTTCTCCAGAGAGGCATTCATAGATTTTGAAAGACAGAGGAACCAACTAGGACTACTACAGCTAAGACCCTTATGGCCATTTCTATTCCTTGGCTGACAAGCTGGTTCCAAAAGCAGCAAGTCAAGGTGATGCAAATTGCAACAACATTTGAATTAAAACTGCAAATGTTTACAAGGAAGAGCAGAGTCTGGGAGCAGGTTAAGAACTTGATGAGGTTGTGTAGAGGAGAGGATTTGGCTCGGGACAATCTCGCTTTGATCAAGCAGACAGCACCATTTTGCATCATCCATGCGGGCACAGAGACCACATCCTAAAGCAAAATAAAATGTGTCATTTCTTTTGGTAGATGATGCTCTCCTCAATGACTCCCCCTGAACTGCACTATGTGAGCGCTCACTGTTCTTAAAGCCTTTCCCTCGAGGTAGCAGATCGTTTAATGTAGACTGCAGAATTGACATCTGGTATTAAGTCAGTCAGGCTACTTCGAAAGGAGGCAAGTTGGCGTCCTGGGAAGAAAATAAAAACACAAGATTAACAGAGGAGACGAGTCATCTTGGTTCAACTGATTCCAAGAAAGATTTAGATATAAAGCATTCTGCACAGTTTCTTTTTACACCAACTATGTGCATAGGAGGCATCCTTCCTACATTCCCTGTGCATGCAGGATCCTCACCAATTCACTGTGGGAGTGCACAAGAAAAGCAGAATTGGGCCCTGTAAGCTTTAAGTTTCAGTATTACAGTTACATTAAGAAGTTACCAGCAAACACCTGCAGCTCCAGTGAATGTGAATGCAGGATCTGAGCCCTCAGCATGTCAGAAAATCAGGGTCCAAGTAATAGAACTGTCCCTTTCAGCCACTCAGAAACAAAGACTTGTCACAAAACATGAGGAAGGTTTAGGGGAATAAAAACAGACTACAGACATGGCAGTGATATATAGCAGTTTGTTGCAGAAACAATGCAGTGACATGGGCAGGATGTTCTGTTCCATTCTGTACAGGATTTTATACTGTGCATAGGCACAGATTCCATGGATGCATCGGGTCTGAAGCACCCAGGGACAAAAATTAATGGGTGCTAAGAAGTCACTAGCTCCTTCACTTCCTGTCAGCACCTCCCATTCACTGACAGCCCTCCCCATCAACATCTCCCCCTCCTAGCATCTTCCATGTGCTGCAAACAGCAATGTTGTGGCATGCAGGAGACTCTGGAAGGGAGTGGGAGGAACAGGGACAGAGTGTGCTCAGGAGAGTAGGTGAAGAAGGGGTGGGATGGGAGTGGGGATTTGGGGAAAGAGGTGCAGCAGGGGCAGGGCCTGAGGTGGAGCAGTGTCAGGTAGAGAAGGGACAAAGGCAGGGGCAGGAAGAGGCAGGGTGGATACTTGGGAAAAAGAGCAAAGCCTGGGGCGGAGGGGAAGAGGCAAGAAGTCAGTGTTCCTTGTAAGCTGGGTGCTTGTGCAGCTGCTCAGGAGAGATTCAAATGCTGCCCAGCTGATTAGCAGAGCGCCCATAGAGAGGTTTGTTTCTACTGGTGGTGCCCATGTGACGGACCGGGCCGTGTCTGGGCACAGCTGAGGGCGTCCACTCAGGGCGAACTGCTCAACTTCGGGGCTCCTCGGGGCTCCTTACAGCCCCCAGACTGGTGACCTCTCCACACAGGCCACACACCAGTCCCACAGAGCGCTCCAGCCGCCTGCCTGAAGCCTCCCGAGCAAAACCCCTCCGACACAACAGCAATATCCGTGCCTCAGCTGGCCCCGGGCCTCATACACAGGTGGGGGGGTCCTAGCACCCAATCCCACCTACCCCGAACAAGTTCTGTCCGGTTCCAAGAAACCAGCCACAGATCCCTGGTCAATTTACCCTTTGGACCTTACCCACAAATCACGCTGGGCCAATCCTTTAGCATCTAACAACTAAAGGTTTATTATCACAAGAAAGAAAAGCATGAGAGTAAGGTTGCTAAAGAATCATACATTACATGCATCGAAACTCCCAGTCCTCGATGCAGGCTCTAGCAGAGATGTTACAGCTGCTGGTTTAAAAGTTCTTGTTGCACATCCTAGCATCAGGATGGGTTCACAGGTCTTCCGGGCTCTTCGATCCCTGCATTGCTGCCTCTGGGATGAAGTGCTGAGCTGAGAACCAAAATGGCATCGACCACATGGCCTCTTTATACCTCCTTCCTGGCCTCTTCTGGTAGGCAGCAGGTCACCTGGTCCTCAGCCTCTCTCTGCTGGCCGCTCTTGGGTGTCCTCCCTCATGCTTTAGGTGTGTCCTTGGCCCATTGAGTGCCATTGTCTCACAGGGCCTCGCTAATTAGCATGTCCACAGGCCCGGGCTCTGCCCAATGCTCAACCACATGCAGAGAAGTATTCAGGATCCACACAGACTACAGATTCCTAACTACACACACAGACATTATACAACCACATAAATAGCTTACATAGGATTATCGGATAATAAGCTTCTATTCAGCACCCCACATGGCCCCTTTTTATACCATTTCTGGGGCCAACACCCCACCTATGGGTGCAGCAGTGATCTGGCTGCTCCCCTCAAGATCCAGTAACGTGACAGCCCATTTGCACATGCCTCGTTACACATACAAATTTATTCCGCACACGGATGGAAAAAATCCACATAGGGACGGAATATTGCAGGACAGGGGCAGAGCGGGCTATTGAGCATTCCCTGAGCCCAGAGGAAGCTGGCGGTGGTGCCTATGCTACTGTGCTCATCTCTGTAGTAGCTGAGCTCCTTCTAATAGCACATGAAGCATGTGACTAACATGGGTCACGTAATAAAACCCAGACAATATGCATACACAAACCAGTGCTACTGTGAAACTGGCTCTGTGCACAGAGAGGCCAGACATACTGTTTTGTCAGCACATGAATATGCTCTTATACAAAAAAATTATCCACATACAATTTTCAAACAAATGTACAAAGAATGATTGGAATACTTTTTTTTAAAAAAAAAGAATGCCAAAGAGCGGCATGTATCATGTCAGCAGACAATATACATTATCATGAGCACCACTATAACAATGCCTTCACTTGCCTTATTCAGCATTCGCATTACAAGTAATAGTTTAGACTGTTGCTGAAGTGTCAATTAAATGAGGGAATTTACAGTGTAACTCTAAATCCACACAATCTGGTTTCAGTGACAGGTAGTAACAAGAGCTAATGACAGTTTGTTAAACTTACTGGCCTGGGGCTTTAATCTGATGTAAAAAAAGGAGCAAAACCAATTGCAAACTATGATTTTGGAGTAAAACAACAGTAGCCACCTACTTTTATATATCTTCTTTTATCTCAAAGGACCCAACAGCTTTTTATAAACAGTACATACCACAGCAATTGCTCACTACTGAAATGCAGCTATCTCTGGGGTGGATTATGGCAACTATTTAAAGTGCATACCAACACTATATATAACTTTAAGAGAGGAAATGAAGAAAATTATCACATCCCGTTAAAAGAATTCACAGAGAGAATATAATTAACCAAGCATGGGCACAGATACCAAAACCGCCATTACTCTGGCAAGAGATATGGTATTTTAATTACCACAAAAGGTCTCTACAGTAAGGCAATATTAATGTCTAATATTAAGCTGCTGTTTAGTGCTTTTCCTCAGTAAATCTAAAAGAAACGTGGTAGAATTATCCACCGTGGGGAAACTGAGGCACAGAGAGGCCAGGAACTTGCTCAACAGCTTAGTGGCAGAACAGGAAATAGACCCCAAGTTCCAGTCCAATGCTCTAGTCACTGAGCCAAACTGCCTCTCCTAGATAATACTCTGAGATGGTACGTCCAAGATAAGAGCATCACTAGCCGTCTGCCAAGGCACTGGCTCAGTACTGACACAGAATAAAGCCATCTACTGAATCACCCATACCGCTTCCTAGGCACTCTGGATTTTTCATGGAAGGGCAGCCTCTCCTCTCCATTCTGACCCTATACTGTACAGCTTGTAAAAGCTAACCAGATCTGAACCCAGCATGGAATGGCTTCTATTAAATCAACCCAAAGAGCAGCTTTACACAATGGGACAGGATGCAAGATGTAAAGGAAGCCTTCTTGACTCCCTTGCTGAGGGCCCTTATCACAAGCCCCTTCAACTTACAATGAGATCTGGCCACCTGTACTGAAAGATCTTTATTGGGGACTTTGTTTCATTGAAAACATCTCACCTGTCCATGTTCTCTCTTGCATGACAATGAAACTTTGGCACTGTGGTTGAGAGTTGCACATTGCTGCAGCGTCCTCTGTATTATGAATGGAGAGTACGCATCCCAGATGGCTGTAGGAGAGCCAGCATTTATAGTCCTGCACTTCCATGGTTCGGAAACCCTTTAGGGTGATGTACTCTGGGAAGCAGAACTTTTATACAGAGACATGGCCTTTAGGAAACTTTAAAAATAATCTCACGGGTAGATCCCCCTACAGTATGTTACAGTTACAGCATAATGTTAATACTTTGCACTTGAGTGACATCCCTCAAAGACGTGAAAATAGCTTGCTCAGAGTGGGTTAGCGGAGGAGTCAAGCTCAGAACATTGTGATTTCTAGCCCTCTCCCCCAACCATTAGATTTGTCTAATGCTTCCCAGACAGATATGACAGTTGCTACTCACTGCTCAAATTTCTGTCCCTTTGTGGAGATGTAAAATAGGGAAGACATGCAAATCTTAGCACTCTGCTAATGAACTGTGATGGAAAGACATTGTTAGAAATACAATGGATGCTAGAAATGCAGGTCCATCTGTGCAAGAGTGTGCCTATATTTTTGCACATGCTCTGCTTGCAAGCACACAATTTCCAGAGGGAGTTGTAAATTTGGTACTCCATGAACATTGTAATTCATGCCCATTCCAAGCCTGCATGGGAACACCTAGGAAAACTTGGACCATGATACCTTTTGTGCTGAAAACAGCAAAGAATGAATCCTTTCATAAGGAAGAAGAATGATTAGCCACTTTTAGGGTTGCCAGATGGTTTCAACAAAAATACTGGACACACTTGACATTACATCACAATCTACATTACATCTTATTTAGAAAATACCAGGCATTTATATTTTCTCAATTTGTTTCCCGAACAGAAAGCTCAAATACTGGACTGTCCGGTTCAAAACCGGACACCTGGCAACTCTACTCTTCTCCACCATGTAAAAGTGGTCCTTTCTTTTGTGCAGAGGAATGGCTTACCAATGACTCAAAGTAGCAGATGGGTTGCACAATGAAACAGGAGAAAAATAAAGTATTGCAGGGATATGTGGGTAAAGGGAGTGAAGATCATCTGAGGATCTTTCTTACCAACTGGTCCATAGAAGAAAAAGACCACTTAAGATATTAACAGGACATTTACTCAATTGAATCACAAACTGGAGCACATGATAAACTGTGAATAAATGTGTAACCTATTTGAATAACAGACAGCCATGAAGCACAAGGGGTTCATGGTTATTCACAGAGCACATGGCTGCAGCCTGTGCGGGGGTGGGGCAGGCAGCACTGTTTTCTCTAAACTGCAAGGCAGCACAGTTTCACAGGTGATTAATCAGCCCCGCCCAGTTAGAGGTTCATGGTTCCTTGTAAAGCTGTGCTACCATATAGTCTGGCACTCCAGCCCCTCCCTTCCCCAATTCTATGCCCCCCACTCCTGCCCCCTACTCCACATTCCCAAATCCTCTGCCCCTCTCCTACACCCATATGCCCTGCCAGATCTGGCACCCCAATCCCTTGCCCCAGATCACAGTCCCCTCCTTCCCTAGCTCACAACCCAAATCCCTGCACCCCAACTTGTACCCCAATTCCCTACTCTAGATCACAATCCAACCCCCTGCACCTCAGTCCAGTGCCCTGGGTCACAACAGCCTCCTTCGCCCAAACTCCCTTCCTTACCCCAGGCTCCCTTCTGCACTCAACCTCCATCCCAGACCTTGCACCTTCATTAAGATCATGAAAGAGTGAAGCCCTCGACCACTTTCCAAATTCTTGGAATGGTCCCCCATCAAAAATTATTTCCCACCTCGATCTAAAGACTCTGATATCCTGTACCTTTTAAAAGATGGTGTCTTTTCTGTAGATACAGCCCCAACTTGTACAAATGTAAGACTTTTTCAAAAGCTCCTAGAGTTTCATTTATTCCATATCGTAAATCGCCTACATTAACAAGGAAAAGATGACAGAAGTGACTAAGCCAATGAAATATCATTTAGAATGTCTTCTTATAAAAAAGTGGGTTCTAAATATTAGCTTGTACCTGTTGTGTTCAGGATATCACCCAAAAAGGGCCGCAAAGCAGTAGGTGCAGTGTGTGGCAAAAGATACGTGAAAAAATACCTGCAAGAAAAATCCCACAGGCATGTCAGAAGTGAGAGATCTCAAAGGGCATGTCTAAACTACGTTCCTCTTTTGAAAGAGGAACATAAATTAGGTAAATCGAAAGTGCAAATGAAGCGTGGATTTAAATATCCTGTGCTTCATTTGCATATTCACGTCTGAGCGCTTTTTCGAAAAAGCGCTCGGACGTGAATATGCAAATGAAGCACAGGATATTTAAATCCACGCTTCATTTGCACTTTCGATTGGCCTAATTTACATTCCTCTTTCGAAAGAGGAATGTAGTCTAGACATAGCCAAAATGTTAACAATTAGTCCTCTCCACTTTCCATCTCAGGAGGCCTATTCTGTTCTAATCAGGTTCTTATATAATGTCAACTGCCAACTGCATAATCCAGTCTAACTTAAAGAACTCAAGCAATTTCACTAAATTCCCCTGAGAGGATCCTGTGAATATTGCCTTGCTTACCTTCAAGCAGTGACTTTCCAACCTACAAAGAAAGGACATATATGCTCTATTACCTATAGCAAACAGAAAGCCTTGTGCTAACAAGGCTTGGCAGTCCATTTATTAACAGAAAGACACAGTAGCTCATTATTAATTCCTTGAACCATCCATTTCCTCCACAAAGCTGCTGCTCTAAAGGGATGGGTCATTATTGCAAGGCTGTAATTTTCTTTTAGGATGAAATTAGGATCCCTCAATAATTATGTCTCCCTCTTAAGCACCTGAACATTAATAATGGACTACCAAGACTTTTACCTCCAGGTCAGCAGTTCATATCTAGCGCAGATCAATGGTGAGAGGAAGCTGCTGCCTTTTGATGACTGATTAGTGGCCTACGTGAATTGAGTTGACATTCTCAGTTCAATTCCCAAAAGATGTCCATCTATATTGTTCCTTCATTCCTTTGTTGCCAATTGTGAATGAGAGGCCATGCGTTAAAGGGACATAGAGACTAAAACTATTTTGCTCTCATGCAGAGGCAACTCCACCTGCAGTACCACAAAGCTGAGGCACATTGGTGGGAAAACTTTGCACTGACTCTTTTGTGGATAGTTAGAGGATTCCCATCTCCAAGGCTGTCATTGTGGCACCTCTGGGAAGCAATGAATTCACCGAGGAAAGCTTTTGGGGCAGGTTCACCGGTTGTCAGAGGGAAGCAATGCCGGAAGGGTATCTGCATTGTTACCACACAATGATTAAGCCGTTTTCAATTCTTAGCTAACAAAGAAATTAATATTTGCTACAAATAAATTTTTAATTGATCTGTGTATGCTTCACAGAATAAGTACAGGATACTGCTCACTACATGGTATTGTTCAATTTATACTCAAATCTGCCAAATGGTTCTATATAATTGCACATTATGCACATTATGCGTTAAAAAGATTTTTCTTTTCATTTAGGTCTTCACATTTCCCAGCTGTAGTACAGTTGAGAATGAAGCTTTTTGCAGGGAAGTCTAATGTGCAGTCATTATCTTCCCTGCATAACCTTTCCTCAATGCTGGCATCGTCCATGTCTGTCACTTTTAAGTTTCCATCCACCATAACAAACTGCCTTGGCTGGAAATCCAAGAGGGCTATTGAACCGAGAGGGGAGTGTGCCAGGTAAAACAGCAGTTTCACTAGACTCAGGCAAATCTGAGAAAGAGAAGACAAAAAACACACAGGGAATACAGTCCAAACAAAGTTAATAAACTGAGTGAAGAAGGGGAAAGGCAATCAGTGAAATTAAAGACATGGGATGCACAGTATGTAAATTATGTGTATATTAGAAGTTATATTGTCAATATTGCCACAAGAAGTTACTGACACAAGCAGTTGAGCAACGTTTGTTAAATATGCATGTGCACACACACACACACACACACACACACACACACACACACACACACACACACGAAACCTTTCCAGTTACGCCACTAGAGTAAAAAGCTACAAGGGATACAATATACACTTTCATTCTTCAGGCTATATGTAGATTGCCACCTGGGATCAGGAAGGTGTTTTCCACCATAGAATAACATCACATAATTGGCTTCCGATCCTGCAACTGCTCCATGCACATGGACCCTTGCACGCACATAGAATCCCATGTACTTCATAAGAATGCCCATACTGGGTCAGGCCAAAGGCCCATATAGCCCAGTATCTTGTCTTCTGACAGTGGCCAATGCCAGATGCAACAGGGAGTGAATAGAACAGGGAATCATCAAGTGATATCTTCTCCTGTTATTCATTTCCAGCTCCTGACAAACAAAGGCTAGGGACATCATTCCTACCCACCCTGGCTAACAGCCACTGATGGACCTAACCTCCATTAATTTATCTAGTTCTTTTTGAACCCTGTTAAAATCCTGGTCTTCACAACATCTTTTGGCTAGGAGTTCCATAGGTTGACTACGCACTCCATGAAAAAAAACTTCCTTTTGTTTATTTTAAACCTGCTACCTATTATTTTCATTTGGTGACTCCTAGTTCTTATGTTTATGGAAACAAGTAAATAACTTTTCCTTATTCACTTTCTCCATACCTGTCATAATTTTATAGACCTATAGTATCTTGTCTTCTGACAGTGGCCAATGCCAGATGCAACAGGGAGTGAATAGAACAGGGAATCATCAAGTGATATCTTCTCCTGTTATTCATTTCCAGCTCCTGACAAACAAAGGCTAGGGACATCATTCCTACCCACCCTGGCTAACAGCCACTGATGGACCTAACCTCCATTAATTTATCTAGTTCTTTTTGAACCCTGTTAAAATCCTGGTCTTCACAACATCTTTTGGCTAGGAGTTCCATAGGTTGACTACGCGCTCCATGAAAAAAAACTTCCTTTTGTTTATTTTAAACCTGCTACCTATTATTTTCATTTGGTGACTCCTAGTTCTTATGTTTATGGAAACAAGTAAATAACTTTTCCTTATTCACTTTCTCCATACCTGTCATAATTTTATAGACCTATCAATCATATCCCTCCATAGTCTCCTTTTTTTTAGCTGAAAAATCCCAAGTTTTTTAATTTCTCTTCATATGGCACCCATTCCAAACCCCTAATCATTTTTGTTATCCTTTTCTGAACCTTTTCCAATGCCAACATATCTTTTTTGAGATGAGGCAACCATATCTGTACGTAGTATTCAACTTCAGTGGCTGTCTGCAGGAGTCCAGGGGCTTTATTCAGAACAGCTTACAGGACCAGTGCCTAGTATGATCCATCCTAGGATAAAAGCAGGCAGTATAGACCATTACCAGAGTCAGGATATAGGCATAGATGTTTTATTCTAGAACAGCACTCCCTATGTACAACTATTGTACTAAATGCCTCATTCATTAAAGCGTATGTCTGTGCAATTAAAACCCGTGGCTGACCCATGACAGCTGACTTTGGCTGTTTAATTGTTGTATAGTCCTTCAGGCTCGGGATGGGGCACTGGCTCTAGGACCCTGTGAGATGGGAGGGTCATAGAGCTTGTCTACACCACAGTCAGGCCCAATGATGTAATTCCGGGCCTCATGGCCAGGCCTGCCGATGGGGAAAGGAGGGAGGGCAAAGAGGGCAATTGCCCCAGCTCCCAGCAATTTTGAAGGGCCCAAGGTTCTGGCTGCCATAGTAGCTACTATGCCATCAGTGATGCCCAGAGCCTTAGGTCCTTTAAATTGCCACTGGAACTGCATGGCCACTCCAGGCAGTTCTATGGGCTGTGTGGGGATGGAGTGGTGCACTCACTGTCCCCGTCCCATCCATTCTGAGTGTATGGAGCTGCCGCCGCCCCCACCTTGCCCAGGGGCCCAGAGTGATTGTCTGTTCCCCCAACCAAGGCAGAACAGTCAATAAGTCCGCCATGCATACACAAGCCACATGCACATGGGCAGGGCTGCATCTGCATTGGCTGGTGCCCAGAGAGCTGCCAGCTGTAAGACTGGTGCCCAGCAACATGCTGGCTACACTGCTGGGTTCACTGTAATTGCATGGCCAGAACTCCCATATGGACACCCAGTAGTACTGCCAACTGTCAGATCATACAAACCCACTCCCTGCCCCACCTTCTCCAAGGCTGTCCCCTGCTCACTCCATCCCTCCTCCCTCTTCCCACCCTCACTCATTTCACCAGGCTGAAGCAGGGGAGTGTTGGGAGGGGGAAAGTGGTGCAAACAGGGCTCTCCATACCCACACACAGCTGTATAGGGCACCCAAAAATTTGAGGCACCACTGGCTTTTAACATCCGTCCACTCACCCACCTCCTCCTATCCCTGTTCTGTGGCTCTGCTTCCTTCGGAGGGGGTCTAGTTAGCTTAAATATGAAATAGCCTGACAGAGCTATTATTGGAACACTGAACCAGTGAAAGAGCCATTCAAGTGACAATGAAGCCATTTAACAGGCATTTGCCAACCCCAGGTAGATACTGTCAGTTTCTGAATCTACTGTAAAAACAACATGCAGCCCTGTAACACCTTCTTAGAGACTAACAAATATATTGAGTCATGAGCTTTCGTTGATGAAACCCACTTCATCAGATGAGTTGGAGTGGAAATGACAGAATCCAGGGTATACATAACAGCAAAAGCAGTTACCTATCAATCGTAGGACCAGTGTTAATGCAACTAATTAAGTCCGGCTGGATGTGACCCATTCACAGCCTTTGATACAGGATGTGACCCATACATATGCCTTTGAAGAGAAGAGCATAAACCAATTAATATCTTTATTCAAGCCCAAGTTAATAGTGTTGAACTTGTAAATGAACTACAGTTGAGCTGTCTCCCTCTGTAATTGGGTGATAAAATGCCTTTGTAGAAGAATGGCTACTTTTAAATCCATTATTGAATGTCCAGGCAGGTTAAAATGCTCCCCTACAGGTTTATGTGTGTTACCATTCCTGAGGTCTGATTTGTGACCATTTATCCTTTGTCACAGAGACTGTACTGTTTGGCAAGTATACATTTACTGTGTTAGTCTACAGAACCTTTAAAACATTTCATTAGTGTGTTGTTAAAGATTGTAAAATCACACCTCTAAAAAGTAATCACCACCTCAGGCTGTCATTGGGAACAGGGGCACCAGTTTATTAGTACTGCATAGGGCCCCATACATCCTAAGGATGTCCTTTGGTGCAGATTCGAGGAGGGAGGTTAGGTGCAAGAGAAGGTGTGGGCTCTGGGTACTAATTTGGTGCAGGAGACGGTGAGCCGTGCAGGATCTGGGAGGGAGTTTGTGTGTGGAAGGGGATACAAGCTCTGGGATAGAGCAGGTGTTTGGCGCTTACCTTGGGCAGCTCTGAAAGGGACTGGCACACCTTTCTGGCAACAGCTCCTAGTTGGGGGAGGGGTGGGACAGTCAGGAGGTCTCTATATGTTGCTGGATGCAGGCGTCACACCTGCATCTCCCAGTGGCTGCAGTTCCCAGCCAATGGGAGTTGCAGAGTTGGCACTCAGGATGTGGGCAGCACACGGTCCCCAGGGACCCTAGCGATATGCCAGCCACTTCCAGGAGAGGCGCAGAGAGAGGGCAGGCCAGAAGCCTGTTTTAGCCCTGCTGTGTTGCCAGTGGTGAGAGCCAGAAGCCCCTATGCTGTTTTAAATCACCCAAGCCCCTGGGTAATTGCCCCCTTTGCCTTCCCATCGTGTCAGCTGGCCTGATCACAGTTAAACACATGCCAGTGTGTGTACCTATGTGCAGTGTAGACATGCTCTAAGAGGTTTAGTGAGATCTTACTGCCATAATTTGTAACCTCTTCACCATTTAAGACTGTGCCATGCATTTTTACATGTCCTTGGTCACTTCTATTATTGGAGTCATCTGTACGACACATAGCTTGTTTGGGAATGGAAAACATAGAGAACATCCACCCAGGAAACCAGCAGAAAATAGTTGTTTAGCAAAGGTGGGACTTTTCAATATAGAGCTTTTTGCCTTGTAAATGATGGGGCTATTTAGACATGCTGGTATATTGAACAGAACAGCCATTCAGGAAACACAGCCTTTCCTTCTGCTGGAGCCAGTCAGTGCCTTGAAGCCCTATACTGAGTTTTGGATGTCTTGGTCTGTTTGTGGCTCTGACTGTGGTAGCCATGGTCAGCCTTGTGGGTCACATGCTTCGGGGGGGAGAGTATAGTTTGAGGGTTAACCAAAGAATTTCTCACTGATTGCATTGTAGTTCTGCCTTTAACTTCAACACCATCCCACCTCCAGTAAAGCAAAGAAGCAGGACTCAGTACAGTGAGGACCTGACTGAGACCACTACTATAATACAAATAATAAAAATGTCTTCCACGTTAGATGCAATTTATGCCACTGGTGAGCTAAACAGCTTCTGTGTTTACTATAGGAGACCCTTGTAATTCACAGAATTTCTATTTGTGGTTCTGCATATTCACAGGTCTCCTGTCCCAGCCTGGGGGTGGTGGGAGTAAGGAGCTGCCAGGAACTCACCATAGTTCAGACCTCCATGGTGAGTTCCCCACAGCTGCCAGGAGCTGAGGTGAACTCACCCTGGCTCCTGGCAGCTGCAATGATTCCCCCATGACTGCCAGGAGCCACATTGAGTTCCCCACAGCTCCCAGCCACCGCGATGAGTTCAGGAGCTGCAGGGAGCTCACTGTGGGGGCTGGGAACTGGGGCTCCCAGTATTTATGAATTTCACCATTGGTTGTGGACGCTGGAACCCAAATGGTGAGAGTTTCCTGTACTTCGGAGGCACAGCAGCCATTCGGAACCCTCATGTGACCTCTCACCTACAGACTGAGGCAGCAATTTATTATTATTTGTATGATGAGTTCAGGAGCTGCAGGGAGCTCACTGTGGGGGCTGGGAACTGGGGCTCCCAGTATTTATGAATTTCACCATTGGTTGTGGACGCTGGAACCCAAATGGTGAGAGTTTCCTGTACTTCGGAGGCACAGCAGCCATTCGGAACCCTCATGTGACCTCTCACCTACAGACTGAGGCAGCAATTTATTATTATTTGTATGACAGTAGCAGCAAGAG